GGACGCGAATTCGCGAGTCCAGATGATCTGAAAATTTGTAAGAGAGCAATTTGAGCAATTTTCTCATGATGATTTAAAGCGTGTCTTTGAAGCCTGGATCGATCGCTGCGAACGCGTGATTGAATCCAATGGTGATTATATTTAAATAAACTTTATATATATGTAACTTGTTTATTTCTATTCGCAGTATTCAGGTTTGTGCTAAACACACCTTTGGACACCCTATAAATAACTATTAAAAATTGTTTTAATTAATTGACACCATATAATAGAGTGAATTTTGTTTGATCAAACAACAATAGATGATAGATATAAAGCCAAGAAACTTGCTATTAATATGCTCTACTTGCTATTTCAATGTAAGTATGATATTTTCTAAATGTTTCGTTCAGATAACTTAGATATATTAGTCAAAATTTGAAATTTTAATAGCACATATATTAAAAATAATTATTATTCATAAAAGATTAATGAAATAGTAAAAAAAATCAATCAAATTATAAAAATACAACATTTAGAAGAATTCTTATTATCCTTCAAAAAGTCAGTATTTCTGCTGTAATTTTCTACAACATTGTAGTTATTGCACTTTGTCTATGGATTTGTATATATGTTATATATAAATTATATATCTAAACTGCCCATAAGTGCAATTTTATATAAATTGTTTATTTCTTTAACAATTTCATATGAAATATGCTTTTTTAAGCGTATCAAAGCTGTGTTCTTAATGTGCATGGATATATCAAGAAAAATGTCGAAAAAAAAATGTGAATTCACAAATTCACTGAATTTTCACCGTTTTTTGAATTTTGCTACAGCACTAATATTAAATAATACTAAAATCTTCTGTCTTTGTAAAAGAATATAATTCTGACAAAAGTGCTCGTTTAAATTTAATGATCATCTGTATGACTAAGTGGTAAAAAGTGTTTATGACCAAAAAAAGGGTTACATGCTTAGTCTATTTTTCTGACAGGATACTCTAGATTACATGATCTCTATTTCATATCTCCGTTTTTAGATTCTTCGACAGATTTTATGAATAGAAAACCAAGATTAACAAATTTCCGGCATGTTAATGAAGAAATCTGCAGCTACCCTCAATATTCTTTCAATAATCAGTATCGTTTCTCTTACAATTTATTTTTTTCTCAATAATTTAACAAGAAATAACAATACACACTTGGTTTTACGTATAAAAGCTAAGTGTCGAACTTAATCAACTTTACTTACTTAGCAAATGAATATTTTTGTGGTTGCGAGTTCTGAATGCTGAAGTTTTAGATTTTTCTATAAATGATATCATTGCACTTACAATGTTGTTCCAGCCTATCGCATAAATCATAGAAAATCCAAAAAAAAAATAATATAAAGAAAATTCATGTCATGAAGTTCAAAAAATACCGTGTAACATTAAAATTTGTTATGCATAATACATTTTAGCTATTATTGATTTTTTTTAATTTTCGAGAAATTGAATGGTGAGTCCGATAGAGAAATTTTTAAAAATCCTAGTCCCTCATAGAAGTAATTTCCCTCGTCTCCCATACTTCCAAATGTATGCATATGACATAAACTTTTATGCATTACACAAGTGGCCAATAATATCTATAGAGTAAAAAATTAGAAATTTAATTTTTTTATATGATAGTTATATTTCAGATTTGCGAGCGTAACTTTTTTCTCCATGGCATACTTGTTTTAAGAGCAAATGATCAAAATCGTCCTTCAATTATTGAAGGAGCTGATATCTTTTGAAAATTGAATTGAAAGAGTATTCAATTTTCAAATTTCCTCTCAATTTTGGAAACATATCAACTCTATGAATTAACAATTATGTGCCTTCACAGTTTATCAGTCATATAAGGTGCTTATAAAGAAAAAAGTTACGCTCGCAAAATATGTTTTTATATAGATTTCACATAAAATAATTATGTAATTTCTAAAAAGAATATTTTTGTTCTTGAATATTAAAGTGTATTGTAGTTTAAAAAGTTTTAAATATGTTGCTAAAATTTCAGGTTTATAGCTCATGTCTAGCATGACTTCTTCGTATGCGCAAAAAATCTGACACGTAAGGGTATCCTTAATGGGTTTTCATCAGTACCAACAGCAAGTTCTGTCATAAATTTTTTAATCTGCTGAAAAGTGCCGTTGTCTTCAGAAAATTTTGCCATTGCCTTATTGTATATTTCTGTCAGAGTCATTGATTTATGAAGATCATTTTTTTTTCATTTTGTAACTTTTTAAATTGTCTGCATTCGGGTATATGTTCCTTTTGTAAATCTTCGGAAACTGAACTGTTCTCAATTTTAACTAAATAACGTGCTTGACAAGAATGATCGATGCAACGGTAGTAACGTTCAATATTATTTGAATTAATAATATTTGTATGATCATGCGAATAAAGCATATCTTTGCGAACAATTGTATCAGGATATTTTCCAGTAACTGCGGGAATATTTTTAACTGCAATATAACTAAAATATCTTCTGACAGCTTTAGATTCATTTTCGGCGTATTTAATATTAAAATATTGAAGAACTTGTTTGATTATATTCGTTTTTTCATCTCTCGATGTTGATTTTTGGTATTTATCAGATTGTTCCCTGATAAATATTTTATTTTCGTCTGTAAAGTTTGCTCTTTTTTGATTAAATATAGATGATTTTCCCATTAAAAAATGAAATGATGCAAAATTCACGAAAACCGTTCGAAAATTAAATCAAAAATGAAAAGTAATACTTAAATGAGTAATTCTTTGAGATATTGGTCTTAGATTGAATGTAGCGTCATTCTTATATAGAATATATTTCATATCATCGGAAATATGATAAAAAGCATATAATAAATGTCAAAAAAGTGAACAAATAAGCAAAGATATTTTTTAAAAAACAATGAAAAGTAATGCTTAAATGAGGAATTCTTTGAGATATTGGTCTTAGATTGAATGTAGCGTCACAAATTTCACAAATATAATTTACTATACAATTTTATTCATTTTTTTAAAATGGCTGACGACAGTCTGTATCAACTAACTCAACTAGTCAAGCATAATGATTATTCTTCGGATTCATTAAATCAACTTTATCAATGCATAAGTACAATGACAGAAAGATCAATTGGATGCTTGAATTGGGATAAATTTTTCAAAAAAATCACAGTGACTGATGAAGTTCTTTTACATTTTTTAGCATCCGTTTTAAACATTGAAAAGATATCAGAATGTTTCAAGGATTCTATTTTTTATCACAATATTAATCTTGAAAAATTCAGTAATTTAACTGAAACAGAACAACAAACAATTTTAAATTCCTACAAAGCGGATAAATTTACATATTACATAATGTGCTCACAAATTGTAAAATCAAACTGGAACAATTTATCCCAAACTTTAGTTAATATTGCAAATCAATATTTGCCATTTTTAGATGAAGAAAAGCAAATATATATATTTACTGAAATAACTGGCAATTATCAAAATTTTGAAATTTCAGTTGCAAACTTGTTACTTTTTTATGAAAACAATGAAGAAAAATTAAGCAACTGTTTTAATTTAACATTGTTCCAGCAAATTTATTCCAAAAATGGAATCGAGCAAATGATATTTTTTGCTGCAAATACAATTTGTTGCAATAACACTTCTATCAATTTTTACAATCTCCTTGAAATTGAAGAAATGAATCCATTTGATTTTTTTTATTTCTCAATTCAATATAAAGAGATATTAAATTGCGATGATTTTCCAAAAGTTACAGAAGTAATCACAGGTTTAATCTCAGCTTCAAATATTAATGCTATTATGCGAATTTGCCAAAAAATTTTGGATAAAATTACATTTTATAAATGTAATTATTGCCATATTACCTCAATATGGAATTTTATCACAAATGCAGCAATAATTCTTCCTGATGAAGATTTATTAATCAAATTATTAAAATTCATAGAAAAAACAGAAAAAGCAACAGATGAATTATTCGAACCGGAGAATGATTTGGGTTTCTATGAATATTTAAATTCGATTTTCTCAGATATTACATCTGCGAGAAATAAGCAATTTCTCTTGGAATTTCTAAATACCCATGAAGATGACTTCACTTATGATCAAACATTGTGAGGTCATTTTTGATCAACAAATTAATTGAAATTCCGATCAAAAAAAAATTCACAAATTGGATCAAAAAAATCGAATCTCAAGTTAAAAATAAAAAATTTCTACATTTTTATCAAATTTAGATTTTTTTTCAAAATCATGCGAATTGATTGAATAATTGCATATTTATCTCATGCATCTAGAAGTATGTGTAATATTTTTGCTTTCATCAAGAAATTGTCGAATTTGATCTTAATTTTTTTTGAAAAATATACTTTTAGAAAAAGAAATAGTGATTGAATAGCTGCCCATGCTGTAAAAGGGTTATTTTTACAAGTAAAAAATTGTTATTTTTCGAGCAAGTCGAGGCTTTTTTACCATCTTATTTTTGAAAAATTTACGAAAAATTATATCTGAAAAAACGCTTCATTTTGATATCTTACAATGATAAAATACCAATGTTGCTGGGATATAATAGCTACACCTGGACATCTACTACATTAATGCGTATGACAGGTAAAGTTGATTTCAAAAGTATAGCCTGGAAAGATTACAATAAATCAACGATAATTCAAAAAAATTTCTTATAAGTTAACATAATAAAAATTTAATTTTTATATTGCTTGTATTATACTTAAGTATATAATATATTTAAATCTTAGAATGAAAATTCGGGACGCCCTAGCTATTCAATTTTCCCTTAGGACGCCTATAAACCTCTCAAAAATGTGATGTAAATATCACAATTTTGAGAAATTTACACTAGGACGCCTTAGGACGCCAACCCCCTTTTTTACCCTTTTTAATTAGGAAGATCAAGAATTGTTTTTATAGTGTATATATTGTATTTGTTTTATTTATGCATTATAAATGTTTTTGTGTAGTATTAAATTGCTTCATTTTTATGACAATAATTCCAAAGGCCATATTGTTAGATGTTGACGGAACAATATGGAAAGCAGGAACAGTTTTCCCAGGTGTACCAGAAGCAATATCTGAAATGAGAAAGATGGGATTGGCTGTAATTATTCTATCAAATAATTCATCGCGAGACAGAGCACATTTTGCAAAAGTTTTATCAGATAAAGGCATTGCAAATTTGTCAAAAAACGATGTTTTTACTGCTGGTTATACATGCGCCCTTAAAATGAAAGAAGATGGAATAAGATCTGCATTAGTATACGGATTTGTCGGATTAAAAGAAGAGCTGGATCATATAGGAATACAAACATATACATTTAAGACACTTAACGAGATCAGACACCTTGATGCAATTGCAGTTTGCAATAATTTAACTTTCGATTACGATCATCTTTGCAGAATTGCAACTATTGTTAAAAAATACGACTGCAAGATATATGGAGCTAACCCAGATACTTCAAATATTGTAGCCGGAAAAACAATTTGTGGTGCTGGATCAATGGTCGCAACAATTGCTACTTTAGCAGGAAAACTTGAAGCAAATTTAGGTAAACCATCACCAGAGCTTATTCCAATTTTAGAATCAAATTTAAAAATTGCCAAGGAAGAAATGATTATGGTTGGCGATCGAATACCAACAGACATAGAGTTTGGCGCTAGAAATGGTCTCAAAACCATATTTGTTCTTACAGGAGTCGATAGAAATACCAAAATTGAAAGTTTGGATCCGGCAATTCGACCAACATATATACTGCCATCTCTTGCTGATGTTCCATCGTTACTTAAAGAAGAATTTTTTAAAAATGCCAAGCCAAATATTCAAAAACCAGTTACCCCAAAATTGGGAGGCCCAAAATCAAAAATTCAATTCACAAACCAGCAACTCCAAAGATAAAAACACCTGTAGTCAAGAAATTTTCGAAACCTATAAAAAAAGGAAAAAATACAAAATCACGTGTATAATAGTGATTTCATCCTTATGCATTCTAATATTTTTATTATATTGTATGTATTTTAACCATGTATGTTGAATAAATAGTTTAATTCTATAATTTTATTAGCGAATGTCTGATTATTATTCAGCGATTGAAAACAATTGAATCTGTTGTGTTCATGTATTCAATAGCTAAAGAGTTAATTTATCTTATTTCACTAAATAAGCAAATTTTTATATTGAATTTATGATTACGAACAATTTAATAATTTTTTTGAATATATGATTATAGTGAGTTCAAAACTTTATGTTTTATGAAATAATTTTTGGGATTCATTTTATCTTGGCACTTTTTCAAAATTCAAATGTCTAAACTAATGACCATGGAGGGTATACCATCTCAAATTTTTGAGGTGATGAATTTAACTGAATCTCTATGGGAATTAAGTTTAGACAGTTTGAGTGATACTTTGTCAAAAGTTATAAAATTTCTCGATTTAAATCTCATTGATGAAAGGATATTAATACGAATGATTGATCGTATTTCCACAAATCGGATCAAGAAACTTAATATTTATATAACATTTATGCTAGAATTAAATAAGATTAGAAAAATTCATGAAGAAAAAATCGAATTTCGCAATAAAAAATTAGAATTCATATTAATAAAAAACAACATTATCGAAAATCATGAAGATTATCCAGATATCCCTGATGAAATTTTCGAAACTTTAGTTCCAAAAGATTCAAATGAATTTCCATTATTCTGGGATGATCTTGACTTATTAATTGCTCATTCTTTAGAAGCAGACTTTAATCAAAATGCGACAATATCAAATATGGACAAAATGTTGGTAGTTTACATTTTTTGATTTTTGCGAAAGTTTCAATAGTTTTTACATTCCCGAAAAAATAGTCCAAATGCTAAGACTTGGATTGGAATCAAAGAATAGTCTCAAAATATGCTGCATTTTCGTATATTAAACCATTGGGCATGTATAATAAATATAATATATATAAAATATCAAAAAGATTGTAATAGATATTTATTGATGAACAATAAGCAAATTCACTATATATAAAAATAAAGATTTACTTACTCGAATTTGAATAATACGTATCATCCCAATGAATATTTTGTATTTTTAGTATAATCACTATCACCTTTTTCTTCTTTGTCCACATTTTTTAAGATATAATACTGTTTTTAATCTATTTGTAGCAAATACTTTCTCGATATCAAATATAACTTCATTTTCTGCTCCACAAAGTCCTGTAGAAAGATGTGATAATTTATTCTAATAATTGTTTAATGGATTTTTTATTTCAAAACGATCTGATGGTTGTCCATCATAATCACTATTAATCATTGCACCTGAACTTTTTGGATCTGCATAATATGATTGTTCACAATTATTATTTTTAATCGAACAATATTCAAATGTAACTGTTGCTTCAACAAAACGAAAAGTTTCTTTGGCGTTGTTTCGAATAATGTTACAATAATAATATTGATGTGGACCCCTATGATAATTAAGAAAGCAGTCAAGGAATGCTTTATTATCAATTAAAGTTGATTGGCTGATTCTGCATGTCTGATTTGAAAAAATTGTTAGTGAAGCATAATCATGGCATATGTTATTTGTTATGTTATTTCGTGAAAAACTAACATTTCCGTTTTCTATATAATTAATTGCATTTCCATAATCTAATGAAACTCCACAATCAAAGACAGTTGAATCTTTAAATATGTTTAAGTTGTATGGACGATATTTTGATATTGTTGATTTCAAAAATACTCCATCTCGATATTGTGAATACGGTTGTGTTGATTTTATGGCATATGTTCGATAGATAACACAACTTCCTTGATAAGAATAAACTGTTTGATATGAAGTTTTTGTGCCATAGAATCCAGAAATAGAAATAAGAAGTTTTGTTCGATAATCGACGTTTATATTGATAACAACATCTTGAATTCCATTGAAGAAACATGTTGTAACATGATAATTTCCTTTTGATGTTCGACTGAATATTTCATTTTTAGTGTATTTTTCAGTGATTACTTCTTTTCCATAAAAATGAATCCAAATGTCACGACTTGAAATAGAATCAAAGAATAGTCTCAGAACATGTTGCATTAGCATAGACTAAGACATGGAAAATGGAATAAATAGTCAAAAAACTTCTATAGATACTGATTGAACCTTTTTGATTTATCTTGAGCATGATAAAAAAAAAAAAAAAAAAAAGGTAGTGGGGCCTCCAGGCGCGTTGCGCCCTCTAGCCCTGAAGATGTTTAGTATAAATGAAGTTTATATTCGGAAAATTGTTAGTCTTCTGGGTCGAAAACATTATATAATGTTTCACTTTTCACAAATTATATATGTTTTCATGTTTTGTAACTTTTCTGTCACTTTTCGGGTAAAAACATTTTTATTATTATATATAAATGAATTTTACAAAACCACCGTTACCGTTCTTTGGAAATAAGAGTAGATGTAAAGATATTATATTGAGAGAACTTAAGAAACTACCGAATGGTCTAACATTTGTAGATTTGTTCGGTGGAAGTTTCTATATATCCCATTTGTGCCATACAATATTCCCAGACTCAAAGATTATATGCAATGACTTCGACAACTATATGGACCGTCTCAAACATATTCCAGACACAAATAATATATTGAAAGAGTTAAAAGAAAAGATACCTATAGGTAAGATGGAACGTATACCATTAGATAACAAAAATATTGTGAGAGAGGTTTTGAAAAAAGCAGAATATATAGACTGGGATAGTATATCTGCTAGACTATTATATAGTGGTGCTATAAGAGTTCATGACATTGAAACACTTATGTCAAAAGTTTTATATCTTAACTATACAAATGTTTTCAAAGAGGACATAGAAAAATATATTGAGGGTATAGAGTTTGTGAGATGTCATTGGACAGAGTTGTATGAAAAATATAAAGACAAGGAAAATGTTTTCTTTATAGTGGACCCGCCGTTCTATAACACATGGGATTTTCAATACAAGTAGACTGGACTTTGAGAGACTCTTTAGAAACTTTAGACGTTATACATAACCATCCATGCTTTTACTTTACATCCGATAAAAGTGGTTTGGAAACCGTTATGAGATGGTTAGAGGACATACATGACTATGAGTTTATATATGACAAGATAGAATATGAGAGAGGTCCTATAAACCGGAGAAAGTGTCACAATAAAGAAATTTTATTAGTAAGTAAATGTGGTTTGAAATCGGATTGTTATTTTAGGTTTTTTCCATTGTGTCATTTATTTATTTGACGTGGCAGAAAAGTACAGAGAATATGAAGATGAACCAATGCCTGCAAATGTTCAGTATATGTACTCGTAAGAGATATTTTTATCTAATATTAAATGGACGCACAGAACTTAGCGAATGCACAGCAACCTGGACAACCAAACCCAGAGAATATTCCAAATGAAGTTAGAATACAAACTGCAATGGCAAAACTATGGTCAAGTGCCAACAGATGTACAAATGCAAACTGCCATGTCAAATGACGCTGCGTTAGGTTTGCCACCATGGTATGCAAATATGAGATGGAAAGAGTTTTATACAAACCCTGAAGTGGGATATAAACAACTTTATGCAGATGACGCGAACACAGGAGTTGACCCAGAATATGTTTTCTACCAGAGGAAAACAGAATGTATGAGCTCCAGTTAAAGAATGCTATGGAACTCAACAGGAAACGTAAGAGACTAGGCGGATATTAGATTTTTACATATAGTAAAATGGGTTTCTTCAGTAGTATTGGAAACTTCTTCAGAAGAGTTGGAAGAGGTATATGGAATGGAATAAAATCTGTCGGAAGAGGAGTATGGAACGGTGTCAAAAATATTGGTAAAAGAGTAGGTCAGTTTGTTGGTATTATACCTTAAAGACCCTAACCTGCCAGAAAGAACAAGCTCCTGTTATACAACAGCCTGAACCTGCACCACAGTCTAGTGGCAACCAAATCCAACACCTCAACCGATTAAAAAATTATATTTTTACCGTTCGATAGTAGTTGTATATGAAACTAAGTTCTAAGTAAAACGCATGGTATAATGGAATTATTCTTTTTCTTCCATCTGTAGTAAACCATACTTGAAAGTCTGAAATACTTCCACTCGGCGGTTCGTATAACTTTGTAGGTTTTTCGTAAAAGTCATTTGCCAAGCATAAGAAAGAGTTTTGCGCACCAGAAAATAAAGCATGAACAATAATAGCATCTGGGTCGAAAATATTTTCATATGTTCCATTAGGTTTTTCGACTTCATAAAAGTCCGGGTGTACTGGATATTCTGCAGGCTGATTTAACATCCTCATAAATCTATACCATGCCAAGTTGTTATATTTTGTAGAAATATAAACGTTTTCTCCAAGGTCTTCTATTTTATTGATTTTAACAGTTGCATTTTTCCTGTCATAAATAATATCGAGATGGTATTCTCCTTCGTCAATGTTATACTGGTTTGCATATTCGATATAGATATCGTTTATTTTTTCTTGAAAAGCTTGAAGAGTTGTTTCTAAATTTATAAGCAAACTAACTTGTAAAAGTTTTCCCTGTTCAAATTTCTCATACATACGTTTTTCTTTGTTATAGTATCGAACTTCAAAACCGACCGTAAATGGGAAACCATGTATGGCTTCTGAAATGAACTTCATTCTACGAAAGCCAATAGCTTTTGTGACGGATGGGTCTCTTAGCCATCTTAATGGGTAGTCAAAACGATAGCCTTCATGCTTTACGGTATCTAAGTCAAACTTTTGACCGACATTAGTAAAAAGTTCATCTAATGGTTTAGTTGTAGCAACTCTTGAATTTTCTTTTTCTATTGGAAGCATATTTTATCTAGAATAAAAATGTCGAAAGATATTGCTTCCATAAGAGAAATACAACACAACCGACAACTCATTATGCAAGCTCTAAATAAGAACACAACAAACTTTTCAAACTATTCTAAGATATCTGAGTCATTGAAGGATGGAAACTTAAAACTGACATTAAACCCAATGACAGATGAGTTTCTGTTTCAAGACAAGAAGAACAATACTGTCTGTATAAATCCAACAAAAGGAACTTTAAACGAGAAACCTATAAATGAACTTCTTTTGAAAGCAGATGTTGACAACAAAGCTGACAAAGAATATGTAGACGATGCAATAGCAAAAGAAGAAGAAAGAGCTAACAATGCTTATGCAACAAAAGAACATACTCATCCTGAACTAGCAGACAAAACATATGTTGACAATAAAATGTCAAGTGAAGTGACAAGAGCTGAAAACGAATATTCTAAAAAGACTCATATACATTATATTAACCAAATACCAAGTCTTAAGGAAACATTAGAGACAAAAGCAGATAAGACTCATACACATTCTATATCTGATATTACAAACTTACAAGAAACCTTAAACAGGAAAAGTGCCGTTGGACATACACATACATCTTCTGAAATAACAGACTTAGACGTTAGCCTTGAAAATAAAGCAGATAAAACATATGTCAATGAAATATACCAAAGTTTGCTAGGAACAAAAAATATTGAAACTATTGTTGGTGACTTTTCTGTCAATGAAGAAAATAAATATTTTAGATGGCAGTTGGTACAGTCCTTAGAAAATGGTACACGGTATAAACTCATTCCGAAAAATAACAATGAAATGTATGTAAGCTATAAAAAGAATGATGGTACACAAGTTAAAGTTCCATTAGACAACAACTGCTACTTAAACTTATATGGAGACGAACAAAAGAAATATTTAAGAGTTTATGAAATGACAGATATGACATTGCCTGACCCAGCTCCAGCACCATATTATTATGACTATGGAGATGACGTCAGAACACCACATGTAGATGAACAAAAGCTAACATTATATTTAGATTATTATAGATATAAAAGATATAATGCAATAGAAAAAACGAGAATAGTATATTATTATACAGATGACAGAAATAAATATTATAGTCAAGATTTTACCCACCCTGAAAACATAAGATTATATTATAAAAAATATTCTGACACAAACCAGAAGAAACCTGAAATAGTTGCACTATATTTTAAGTTCAAAAGAGACAATCCTATAATATCTCATATGTTTGATTTAATGAACCCAGTAGGTTCTATTTATACATCTATGGATGCAAGAGGTCCTCAAGTAATGTTTGGTGTTGGTGCATGGGAACAAATAGTCGACAGGTTTTTGTATTGTGCAAACTCTTCAAAGGAAACAGGTGGAAGTAAAACGATTTCAGGTGAAAATTTACCTGCACACAGTCATTACATAGATTTAAGTACATCTCAAGCAGGTTGGCATAAGCATAGATATTGGGATTGGTCAGGAATGACAAAAGGTAAAGGATATGATGTTAAAGACGACGTTAAGTTTGCTATAAATTGTTACTGGGATGACACGCAGGGAGAAGGAAACCATACACATTTCGTTTCAGGATATACGCAAACAACGGGACAAAGTAAAGAATACATGCCACCTTACATGACAGTTTACGCATGGTATAGAATTGCTTAGTCGTCATTTTCAACTTCTTTAGCATATTCGTCAGGAGTTGTCTTATATTTGTTAGGAACTGTCTTTGAAAGTATACCACCTTGAACTTTGACAAGTTTGAAACGAGGTCTGGCAATAGTAGTTTTATCTTCTGCTTGCAGTGTGTACATTTTGCCATGTTTGCCTAAAACTTCATAATATTCTCTTGTATACTTTCTTCTATTTTTACGAACACGAATGTGAGTACCTGTCGGGTTCCTATTGTTGTCATAGTCAATAGTATTTTCATATGGGTCGCGTTTAGGTATTTCTATTTTTACTTTGTCACCTTTCTGAAGTTTGAAGCCCGGCATTCTTTCTTGTTTGTCTCTTTTGACTAAATTATTAAATATATAGTCTTTCTCTAAGTCAGGGTTGTTTTTCATTTCTTCGGGGGAGTGGTTTCCCAAACCTTTTTGTTTACGGTTATTGTAAATATTTAAAACTTGTCTCATCTTTGCCATGGAGAAGTGTCTATATTTGTCGTCATATGACATTTCATTTGCTTCACCACCTTGTGGTTGGTTTAAGTCTCTTAACATTTTTATACAACCGTCAATGACACCAAGAGCAGAATGGTTTTGGTCGACAATGAAATATTGGTTTACATTTTTTGAACGCAGATAGTTTTTTACATCATCTGATTTGAAAGAACTTTCACAGTCAGATGTCAGTTTTGTTGGATGGTATTTGTCAACGAATATTGTCAAAGCTGCTAAGATATCTAAAATAGCTTTGGACTGTAATGGTATGGCTTCACAGTATCTTGTGTTTTGACCAACAAATATTAACCAGTATGGAGGTCCATCTGTTCTAACTCTCGGAATGTTTTCCAAGATATCCATAAACCAAGCATTTGGTGTTGAACTAAAGATTTTTATCATGAGTGCTTTTTTTGTTGCCTTAGAAACATAGGGGTCCTTGTTTGGATTCGTCATTTTTTAACCCATAAGAAATGGGTTTATTTGGCGCATTAGCAGGAGTTGCATCTAGATTTTTACCCGCAGTGGGAACAATAGCCAGAGGTGCATTTGGAATTGGAAGGAAGATTTTGAGTACATTAGGTATACTTAAAGAGAAAGCACAACCTATTATACAAACTGTACAGAAAGGTTGGGATGTAGCACGAGATGCAACAAATCTTATTCCAAATCCTGAAACAAGAGGAAAAGTTCAAGGATGGATGGACAATGTAGGAAGACAAGCAGGAAACTATTATAACAAAGCAAATGACTACTATAACCAAGCAGGACACTATATGGACCAAGGTGAAAGATTCTTTAACAGAGGATATAACCATGCACAACAGTGGGTAAACAATAACCAACCTCAACCGCCTCAAACGTGGGGAATGTAAATTTTTTTACTGAGATGAAATGAACAATACAGCATTGAGACAAATGGGTTCAAGATGGATTTGTCGACTTCCAGCAGTTACACCACGTGTTTGTCAAGTTCTTCCTATACCTCAGGAAGTTTTAGACCGACTTAAAAAACCTAAACAACCAGTTGAAAACAAACCAAACTAAAATTTTTTACTGAGATGAAATGACCGAAGAAGTTGAAACGGTAGATTTGACACCACAAACAAAAAGTTCAGAACCATTGTCAAAACCTGTCAAAGAACTTACAGATGAAGAGAAAAATTCAATAATAGAAAGTGCCAGGTCTGGAAATACAAACCCTAACTATAAAGTCACTTTTCATAAAAATGGAACGGCTAGTATCTCAAAAAAGAAACAGACTCTCACAAATAAAATATTGAAGTCTGAAGGAGCTTTCGAGACAACAGATGGAAAAGTTTACTTCACTGACCAACAGTTCATTATAGAACATCTCATTGACTTAGAGTCGAAATATTCTAAACTTTACAACAAACACAAAAAGTTGAAAGGAAAACAAAAACAAATGGCATATGATATTTATGAAGATGTTGACGACACAACTGTTCCTGCAAGTGAAGTAAAGTCAGAGGAACCGAAAAGTGACGAAAAACCGATAGAAGAAGAAAAACCAAAAACTGAAGATAAACCAAAACCAAAGTTTAGTTTGGAAACTAAACCAAGTCAACCTTCATTAGCTGGTATGGGTTGGCGTCAAAGACTTATGGCAGCAGGCGGTTATGTAAAGTAAAGAAAAAAATATTTTTTTATTTTTATAAAAATGCCCCCATATAGAATGGATAGAAAATCTGCTAGAATAAAAGCAGAGTTGCAAAGATATGGTTGGAGAGTTTCGAAGAAGTTTAAATATAGGAAGGGAAGACCCATAAAAGTCTATGACAAATTGTCTGGTCTTCGCTACGAAATGGATTTGGAAACAGCACGTGCCAATTATCCAAACAGACTAGAGAGGTTAGAAGAAGAACGTCTTATGGACATGCCTTTCGATGTTAGTGAACCTCAAGTTGAAGGACACGACGGCTTTGCCAGATTCTACTGGAAACATGACGAACAATTGCATCCTTTGAGAAGGAAAAAAGGAAAAGGTGAAGACACACATGCTCCCATGGAAAGAACAAGATATGCATATGAGAAGTACCGTGAAGTTAGAAGTCAAATTACATCTGGTCGAACCTTTACAGTAAACTTTGACGAAGGAAAGAACAAAGAAGGCTTCATGGGAGTACTTGCTGCCATACAAGACGGAAATAAGAAAGGACACAATCTCAGATTGACCATAACAGATTTGGATGGTCACATTTACTATGCACATGGCAATGAACAAACAGCCGCAAAACTTCTTGACGCTTTCAAGACTACAAAGAGAGAACAAATGGTTGACTCCGACTCAGACATTTTGAATGCAATTGAAGGAATTGCAAGTGTCAAGTTCGAATGGTACCAACCTAACCCTCAAGCAGTCAGACAACATGCTGGATACTTCCCGTTCATAAATAAGTCTGACATTGACTTGACAAGGTATGGAATTTACAATTCAATTGAAACAATTGTCAATGAACCTTGTATTCTTACATGTCTCAGGAACTCTGGTCTTGTTACAGATGAGAAGATGAAGTATCTTGAGTCATGTGTGAAGACAAGGTACATTCTCAGAGGTCAATTGGCAAAAATTGCACCGTTGGCAAATGTCAATATCCGAGTCAACATACCTACAGCTAAAGGTTCTTCACATGACGACTATGTTGTTGACAAAGACTTACCATGGTTGAAGATTGTAATTGTCCACAACCACTTCATGTTGAACGAAAGTCTTACAAACTCATTGTTCGGAAAAGGCAAGTGCAACATTGTCAGAGCTGTAAACATTCTTTTCGAGAAAGGTTTGTTGGAACCAATTCCAGATGACAAGCTGACAGAAACTTTTGTACCAAAAGACGAAACAAACTTTTCATTGTTAGCAAGACCAAAAGTTGTTCCAGACAAAGTTCTAGTACAAAAGAAGTACACAGTTCCACAAGGGGTTGGTATGTTCGGATACCAACCTGAACCAGAAGAACTTCCAATGAGGTTGCAAGAACTTCAAGATGCTATAAACAAACTTCCATTGAGACATCCAATTGACGTCAAATTGTATTGGAGAGCATCTGAGTTAGGTCAGAAGGTTTTATATGAAACAGGTTGCTTCGACGATGTTTATGAGATAACAGGAGAAGTTTCTCAGAAGATAAGAGACTCACTTGAATTTCCACAAACTGGACCAATTGGTTGCGACAAGTTCGACTCAAACGAAAAGATATACTATGTCGACCTTAACGCTGCATACATGAGGTTTGTCCAATATATTCCGACTGGAATTCCAAACGAAGATGGTGAGTTCCCGGGAAGGAACTATACAGTTGGAAAAGTCATACAACAACTGTATGATATTAGGAAAGCTTCAAACCCCAAACTTGCAATGACACTCAAATTGCTTATGAATTCGACATGGGGATATTCCATTAAGAAACCTCAAGAGATGAAGAGTAAACATTATGAGAAGGTCGACAACTTTGTTGAAAGGTTTTCTCCTTTTGTTTTGAAGTACGAATTCACTCAAGGTCAAAGTGGCTTAGTAACCACATTAAAACCTATTGTCGAACATTGGTCTTACCCTCAGTTCGCAAAGGCAGTCCTTGACAACTACAACAAATTCTTCTCCGAAGTCAAATCCAAAGTGAAGGTTTACTATGAGAACATTGACGCACTCATGACGAACGAAGAAGGATACAACAAACTCATTGAAAT